GCTGCTTGGCTGTGGAAATGCTTTCATGAGTTATCATGATCCAAGCTCATAGCCTGAGCTTTGATGCTTTGAACCTTGGTTGCCTTGGTTGGAACTAGATGTCTTTTAACGTCCTTTCCAACCCAAACCATTCAATGATTCTATTATCTTGGTTTCAAAAGACTAGAGTGACATCAGAACTGAGGATGGGCTCTGAGGGTATGAAAACAACCTCACAGTCTGTGCATTTTCACTGTGGTCATGTTGGACCATTTTGCAGTAGGAAAGTGAGTGGTCTGCAAGTGTGTTCAAAAAGCATGGCTAGCTGTGGTGTGAAGCTGGACTGAGGCTGGTTGAATGTTAAATGAAATTCAAGTGATGAGTACCTGAGGTTTAGAAATTGCTGTGACAGGATGCACACTTACTGAGCAGTCTGGCTGGCAACTGAGCACAGCTTTCAGTCATGGTGTATATACACAGTGAGAATACGTGTTCCTTCAATCCTTGTATAACCTAGCAGCTCCACCTACCCTGGAGACTGAAATTCTCATTGACTCATTGAGCATGCCCAGCAGAATCCCCTCCTGAGCATTCTCCTCTCCCTTTTCTGCCAGTTGTAAGGGCAGAGGTTCAAAAGATCTCCATAGAGATTAACAATATAAATCCATTCACCCTTTTCCCAGGAGCAGATAATACTTGGATGTGCATTTACTTGGCAGTGGCCCTGATTACATTGTGAACTCCCCCCTAACCTCCAACCATCAGATACATATTTTGAATGGGAAGGCACCTCCAGTAAATGGCATTTAATAGCACGCATTATTTAATGTCTTTACTGGGAGGGATGCTGCTAAACCCAGGGAAGTCGTGACACTTTTAATTCCTCTGGCTCCATCAGCGAAGATGTGAGATGTGCTTTGTAACACAGATTTTTTCTCAGAGACTTTCACAGATGTGATCATTCCACAAACATTATCCACTCACTAAAGATCCCAGCCTTCTGCTCGCTTAATAGCAACAGCTCTGAAAAATTAACTATCTTACTAATCTCTGTAAAGTAAACAGCATTTTGTCCTTAAAAATAACAATATTTAGTCACCTCCAGAATTTTCAAAGCAATCATTCACCTCCAGAATCTGGAGCATTCAGCCAATGCACCTAAAGAATGAAGAATCAGAATTGTGGAATGATAGAGGTTGGAAGGGACCTCTGGAGATCACCTGGTCCAACCCCCACTGAAGAGGTGAAAACTTCAAAGACAGATCAGGTCATTCACAGTGATGTCCAGCTGAATACTGGACATCACTTAGGATGGAGATTTCACAACCACTTTAACTGATTTCAGACCATTCTCCAAGTGAGTATTTATTTCTTAATTTCTAATTGGAACGCAGAATCACAGAATGGTTTAGGCAGAAAGGAACCTGAGAAATCATCTAGTTCCAACCACTGCCATGGGCAGGGACACTTTCCACTAGATCAGAGCCCCATCCAATGCGTCCTTGAACACTTTCAGGGATGGAGCATCCACAGCTTCTCTGAGTAACCACTTCCAGTGTCTCACCACCCACACAGGAAAGAATTTCTTCCAATTTAATGCTAATCCAATCTAAACCTACCCTCCATCATCCTAATGCTCTTAGCTCTTGTTCCATCATTCCATGCCCTTTTAAAAAGTTCACCTCCAGCTCTCTTGTAGCCCCCTTAGGTACTGCAAGGTGCTATATGGTCTCCCCAGAGCTTTCTCTTCTCCAGGGTGAATAACCCCAGCTCTCCCAGCCTGCCTTCACAGCAGAGGTGCTCCAGAGCCTGGATCATCTCCATGACCTCCTCTGGACTCCTCCAACAGCTCCATGTCCTTCTTACCCTGGGGGCCTCAGAGCTGGATGCAGCACTGCAGGTGGGGTCTCACACAACTGGAGCAGAGGGACAGAATTCCCTCCCTCCAGCAGCTGGTCACTCTGCTTGTGGTGCAGCCCAGGCCACGGGCAGCTTTGACAGCTCATGACAGTGCCATTGACAGCTCATGCTGAGCTCCTCATCAACCAACACCCCCAAGTCAGCGCCTGATGTTGTGACTCTCACTCGTTGCATCCCATCCAATCGCTGTGCACCTCCCAGGAGAGTTAGCTTTTACTCTTTATACCCACCCCTAAGGTCCCTAAGGTATCTGGAGACAGCAGTAAGATTTTTCCCCTTAAACTTCTCTTTCTAGGAGTGATAAACTCAGTTCTTCCTGTCTTTACACATCATACGCATGTCTGCTCATCACCTTGATTACCTTCAACTGGACTTCCCCCAGTGAGGAACCCCAAATTAGACATAAAATTCCAAGTTTTGTTGGATAGGGGGAAATAGTTATAACCCCAAACCTGATGGACACAATCTTGCTCATACAGGCCAGGATGCTCCTGCTCCAAGATGTGCCCAAGAGACTCATCAGGTCCTTATCTCAATAAGGACTGACTGTCCTCCCAGTACAGACTGCCTGTACTCTTGCAGAGGTCTATTCCATCCCAGGCACACCTTTGCATTTCCATATAGATACATATATATATATACACACACACACATTGTATCTATATATATATTTGTCTACATTCTCTATTTCCCTTTACTTCTCAACTGACCCATTCAGCTCCAGCATCTGCCAATATATATTTTTTAAAGTTGAGTAAGTAAGATAATGGAAGTATTAATGATTTTTCATGAGGACATAATCTAGTTTTTCTTATTTAGATTTAATACATTTTTATTTTCATTTCCCTTTAAATGTAATTTTTGTCCATTTGTTCCTGAAACAAAAAATAATAATCTATTTTCAGGAGCACATATTTTATAATTTGTGGTTGATTATGTTAATTCTGGGTCATTGGTTTTTCTGAGAAGAGCCCACGCAACAAAAAGCTCTCAGCCTTGGAGCTGCTAAGTGTTTTGATCAATACAATGACAGTCAAGGGTATTTTGTACCTTACAAACCAGGAATTTTAAATCAAGAGGCTCTATGAAAGGCTGCAAACCCCATTTGTCCTTTGAGTTGTAAGTAAAAAACCTACTCTTTCCAAAATTGTCAGTATTGTGCATGAAAGATAAAATAATAATTTCTCCCCCCAAAAGATGGCAGTTTATTTCCAAAAGGATGCTATAGTCTCTAAGGCTATATTTGTTCCAGTACAATAGGATCCCTGGTTCTGAGAATGAGTAGTGCAGCACTGAGTGAATTCATACAGGGAAGATCCTGTCCCACCGAAACAAGGTCCTGGACCTGTTTTGGATATGCTGCTTTGTATTTCCCTTGGTAGCACAGAGGAACAAGCGGCAGCAGTGGAAAACATCTTGTTCATTACCCTTTGTTATTGTTACTTGCTGTTTTCATTAAAAATTCCAAAGAGATTCAGGAAAGGCAGGAGGAAGCACCAGTTTGGCATCCTCCCTCCGTTCGTTTACCACGAGCATGGAATGCACGGGGTGTGCCCTGAACATCTCTGTTTGGGTCTTCTCCCCAACTCTCTCAAACTGCAGTTCACCAGCAAATGTCATTGTCACCTGATGATAACACAGATGCCCTTCCTTCCCCCAAGAGATGCAAACTGTGAGCCCCACGTTAGTGCCTGCTGGCTTCTCACCTCACGTGTCTGACCCAAAAGCTCTTTGGACCTGTTATCCCAGGACTGTCTGGAGAAGCAGAGTGCCAGCACCAGCTCAGCCCTGCCTGGATGCCATCCAGGGCTTTGTGGGCTGCAGCTGGCTGGCATCCCTGCATGGAGCTGGGGCACAGGGAAACCTTCTCGGTGGGGTTAGATTCTGACTTCTGCTATGAAGCCCAGAATCCCACTGCTCACCACAATTAGCGTGCTAAAAACCACAGGGAATGCTCAAGCAAACCGGGGGAAATGCTCAAGCATTTCATTAATGGCTAATGTTATTGAATAGACAATTAATAAGAGCAGTCAAGTGAGTGATTATTTCTAATAAAAGGCCCGACAATTGCTAACAAGTTAGGAAATGCCAGCACAGAAGTTCTCTAAGAAATAATCCCCTGCCACATTGCCCTTACGCAGAATAACCAGGGTTACTAACAGGTTTCCTGGGTGCGCAATGTAGCCTATCTGGGAGCAAGGAAATTCCCGTGGCGCCTCACTAACACATTTTTAGAGGAGCCCAGGGACAATTTCACGGGGATGCTAACTTTCTGCGGCTGGCACGGAATACGCCCCGAGGGGGCGAAGCCACCCCGAGACAAAGCCGGGGCCGATTCCGCACGGTGCGGGCAGGGGATGGGCGGCGGGCAGGGCAAGGACAGCGGCCAGCGGGCTGGGGTAGGGGCAGGGGCGGCACGGACCGGGCAGGGACAGCCGGCTGGGGCAGGGGCCGGCAGCTCTGCCCTCCCGCTCGGCCCGGCGCCGGTTCCGACCCGCGCACGGACATGACTAAGCAGCACCTCTCCCTCCGCGGCCGCTCCCGCCGGGGACTCACCTGCCCGCCCCGGCCCCGCCAGCCCGCGGCGCGGCTCCTCCGCAGGGGCCGCCGCTCCTCCGCCCCGCTCCGGCCGCTCCGCTGCCGCCAGCGCCGCCCCGCTCCAGCCGCTCCGCGCCGCCCCGCAGCCGCCCCGCTCCAGCCGCGCACCCTCCGCGCCCGCGGAGCCGCCGCCTCTCGCCGCCGGGGCGGGCCGGGGGCTGCCGTCAGCCGCGGCTGACGCAGGGCTCTTCCTGCCGGGGATGAAGCCCCCGGCGGCCGCCAGCCAGGAGCCCCCGCACCCGGCGGCGCTCGGGGCGGCCGGGGACCCCCCGCACCCGCGGTAGGGCGGCGCTTCCCCCGCTGCCGGCGCGGGCAGCGCAGCGCCTCCCGCCGCCGCCGCGCCCGCAATATATCCGAGCAGCCCGGAGCAGCCCGGAGCAGCCCGGAGGAGCCCGGAGCAGCTCGGAGCAGCCCGGAGGAACCCGGAGCAGCCCGGAGCAGCCCAGAGGAGCCCGGAGCAGCCCGGTGGAGCCCAGAGGAGCCCGGCGCTCCGCAGCCCCGGCATGGAGCGCCCGCTCAACCTCAGCTGCCTCGCCGATACGACGCCGGACAGCGGCAACAGGAGCGGGTCCTCCGCCGGCCCCGAGGGCGGCCAGGCCCATCTCTCCGTCTTCAGCGTGTTGGTCCTCACGCTGTTGGCCATGCTGGTGGTGGCCACGTTCCTCTGGAACGGGCTGGTCCTGGCCACCATCCTCCGCGTGCGCAGTTTCCACCGCGTGCCCCACAACCTGGTGGCCTCCATGGCCATCTCTGACGTGATGGTGGCGGCCCTCGTCATGCCCCTCAGCCTGGTGCACGAGTTGTCCGGGCGGCGGTGGCGGCTGGGCCGGTCGCTCTGCCAGGTGTGGATCTCCTTCGATGTGCTGTGCTGCACGGCCAGCATCTGGAATGTCACGGCCATTGCCCTCGACCGCTACTGGTCCATCACCCGTCACCTGGAGTACACGCTCCGCACCCGGCGCCGCATCTCCAACATCATGATTGCTCTCACCTGGGCGCTCTCCGCCTTTATCTCTCTGGCCCCACTGCTCTTTGGCTGGGGAGAGACTTACTCAGAGGACAGTGAAGAGTGCCAAGTCAGCCAGGAGCCCTCCTACACCATCTTCTCCACGTTCGGGGCCTTCTACCTGCCCCTCTGCGTGGTGCTCTTTGTGTACTGGAAGATCTACAAGGCTGCCAAGTTTCGAATCGGATCTCGCAAGAGCAACTCCATCACCCCCATTACACCAGAAGCGCTGGAGGTAGGTCAGCTTGGTTGTGTTTTGCTCGGGTCAAGCACTGGCAGTAGGCAAGCCTTTGTAGAAGTGGGGGAAACTTAAACCAAAAGTGTGCAGGTGAGCAGTGGTCCACCAAAGCCCTGTGGATCCTGGAGTCTTCTGAGGGAAGGCTGACTGCAAAGCTTGCAAACCCAGTCTGCTGGCTCCCTCCCAGCCCCCAGCTGTGAGCGCTCAAGGTGTAGCCAAAGCAACTTTGGGACGTATTGCAAGCCTGAGTGCCACGTGGGCGAGCGGTGACTCACAGGTGTCCCCCCATGGAATGCTGAATCAGTGCTGGCCGGCATGAGTAAGGGGGCACCGTCCCTCCCCTGGGGAGGCAAGGGGACAGTGGATGGATGGGCTACTGTGCCTGCTGGGGACGGTACCTTGGCAACCAGCTGTGGCTTTGGGGACACTGTGAATTTACCCAGATAAAAAACACATGTGCAGAATGTCCTTGGAAATCTTTCCTAATCATGACTGCATCGTGTCAGTTCATCCCAGGCACGGTGACTCTGCACTGGAAAGATTTCTTGCAGGGAGGAAGCAAACATGCTAATTTTCTTCCCTCTCTACCAAGGACTCCTCAACTCAATGGGTTTAGAGAAAGTAAGCAGACTTCTGTGCGTGGCATGTGGGTGTGTGTCTGTTCTGCTATCAGATTATAAGTGGGGAAGTAATCTTCATTGCAATCAGATTGTAAGTGGGGAAGTGCTGCTGCGTGAGTAACCCCATGTACCCGCAGAACTCTCCCTAGTTTCTTTTCCAACCTAACTTACAATAGTCTCCATCACCCAGAAAAGGTCATCCAGCCTGCATTTCCCCTCAGAAGAGTGACGTGGATGGCCTGTGTTTCCTCCAGAGCCTTGGCCCTCGCTCGCGTTGTTGGGCTCTGTACCTGCTGTGTGGGATCACCTGGCTGGGGTACATATGGTGCAACTTGTGTTTGTGTTTGGCAGGTAAAGGAAGCGGCCCAGCAGCCACAGATGGTCTTCACTGTCCGTCACGCCACTGTTACGTTCCAGACGGACGGAGACACGTGGAGAGAGCAGAAGGAAAAGAAAGCTGCCCTCATGGTGGGCATCCTTATCGGGGTCTTTGTGCTCTGCTGGATCCCCTTCTTCATCACAGAGCTCATCAATCCACTCTGCTCATGTGACATCCCACCTGTTTGGAAGAGCATTTTTCTATGGCTGGGCTATTCAAATTCCTTTTTTAATCCACTCATCTACACTGCTTTCAACAAAAACTACAACAATGCCTTCAGGAACCTATTCTTTAGGCAGCAGTGAGCAGAAAAAGCTTTCCTGCTGCCCCAGGAAGCTGATTTTGAGTGTCAATGATTCTGACCAAATTCCTGAGGAAGTTCAAAGCCACAGATACTGAGGTGATGCTGAAAATGCATCGCCATGGGTCATATGTCCCAGAATCAGTCCCAGTCCCTAGGCAGGCTCTCCATCCCAGCATCTTAGCTGCTGTTTTTCCTGCAAGTAGCATGTAAGGGCTTCTCCTGCCAGCAGCCTGGCACCCTCACTCCAGTGCCCTGCTGTGTTCCTCCTGCCTCCCCAGTGATGCTCTGTTTGGAGGCACCAAAGGTGCAGAGGAGTCCACTGGCAAAGAAACGTTGGTTTGGCCGCTGCTGGTGTCTCCCAGCATTAATCAGCTTTGTCCCACGTGCAAAGCTGGGACCCTAAAACATCAGGAGGTTTTGTGATTACATATGAGAGTACATATTTTATGGCTTGGCTGAAAACAAGGTTTGTCTTGTCTTTCACTGGTAAAGACTGCAAAGTGTTTGTTTTTTGGGGAATAAAACCCTTGGTAAGGGTGAAGTGCAGACTACAATTACCAAGCTTTTTGTCACATACTTTGGGCAAAATTGTGTCTGTTTGCTTTTGGATTCTATGTAGCAGTTTGTTTTTTTAAAAAAAAACAACAAACAAAAACTTATTGTGAAAACTTAATGTATGGTGTACCCTGGAATGAGAGAGGATGCATGGGAAACTCACCTCTCATTCCCCAACTGCTACGTGTGAGCATCTGCCTCAAACCTTTATGTTCAGAAATACCAGCTGTAAATGCTAATCTTCATGCCTGTTGTTTCCCATTTTAAAACATAAATGTATTTTGAGCAGCTGTGGGCAGATTTCCTGTAGTTTCAGGGTATGCAAGGGGTGTATTTCAAGTTGCCTTTCAATGAGGAGCTGTGTTTTACTATTTCTGAGTGCAATCCAGAACTTGAAACCAAAGCAAAAATGCCACTTTGTTTCCACAAGCACTGGGCTGCAGGCAAAGGGCAGTTAATGACAGGTGATATTTCTTTCTGGAAGCGTAATCAAACCATGGAGCTTCTCTTCTCCAAGGAACAGACTTGAATATTTCTTTTTTTGCCCACCTGTCCTTCTCTTCCCACCCCTCTAAGGCTCCATCCCATGTGGTTGTTACTGCTCTGTTGCCTCCCTGCCTTTCCACATTGCCAACTTAATTACAGTAGTTGGCATTTCACTCCTCGAATTAGAGTTACACACTTTATACTGCGCTGCCAAAAGACTGACAGGACTGCAGATAAAGGAAAGCATTAGCTTTAACTTGGTTCTGGGGCAGCCACTGAAATCAGACCACAACTAAAACAGTGAAAAGAAATTCAAGATGGAAATCAGAATGGCCTGATTTCATGTCAGATATCTCAAGAAGAGATAAAAGGGAAAGATGTCAATAAATGATGCTAAAGCTCCCTGGGGTTGGATCCTGTAGTAGATCGTGAGACATCAGATGTTAAAATTGTCACTGGTCCTTGAAACCAGTCAAAAATCCTGGCAGAGCTGGCAATAAAAGCCCTTTTTCTTTTGCTGTCTCTGGGCAGGTGAAAATGGAAGCAGAAGTCATGGTGCTATTAAAGCACTGCAGCCCTTTCAGGACCAGTTAGCCAAACATCCATCAGCACTGACATGGACATAGCTGATCCTGCCTTTTGGCAAGAAGAGAAATAAGATAGCCCTTTAGATCTTCCTTAACACCATCTTTAAAAAGTCTGATAGAAATATTGGGTAAAACCCTGCCCTCATTGAAAGTAATGGACAATTTTTCAGCGATTTCAAATGAATCAGATTTTTATGTGGCATGTCTTGTCTCGTAAAAGCGTAGTTTTAATGTTAATTAATTCAAGGAGAAGATGGGTGGGATGGGAGTAATCTTCTAATTCCCATGAAAGAGTCTCTGACCTGCCCCTTAACTGCGGGCCAATCTTTACAACTAGTAAAGAGCATTTTCTTTCTTTGTTACATATTTTAAAATATTATTAGTGACATCTCTGATGTATCAAGAATTGTAATAAACTCTTGAGCAGCTTTTTTTTACTGAGTTTATAAAGGCTGTGCTGCTTTCTCTGGGCAGTTCATCACTGATGCTGAGTTGTTCCGTTTGGAAGTTGCTGCTTTTGTTGTGCCAAAGGTTGTTTAGCCAAAAACAACTTGGAAAAAACACTTCCCTTTTCAAGCCAGAACTTCAGCTAAGGTTGGTGGTGCCAGAAAGTAGGAGATTACTTCTTAGGCCCTCAGAGTGACACTTTAAACACTTCAAAGCGTGGATCACCTGGGAAGTTGAACCTTAATTCCCCATTTTCTCACCCAACACCATGTCTGCACAGACCCATGTCAGTCCCAGCTGTATCTATGCCATTTTTACTTGCTCTTTGATGAATACTGCAGATTCTCTTGTCTCTGTTGTGTGAGGTCCTTGTGCAGGCTGTGGAATCAGCTGCAAACTCAAATTAATGTCCCCTGTAAGCAGACAAACTGAAATCAGTGGGAAATTCCCTACTTTTGTTGCAGTTTGGCACTGGGGTGAAGCTCCCTTTCATTCACCCTCTGTTTATTCATGCTGTGCCTTAAACAGTCACAGGGAGACAGGGGATAATTTTAAACTGACACTAGATAATTCTAATTTGCCTGTAGTCATGAGTATTCCACCATCCTGGTGTAAATTACACTCTCATTTATTTGACAGGGCACATCTGATACAATCATTTTATGCAAAAAAAACAGTTTTCAGTTGGTTGTAAGATTTGTTCTTTTAAATCTTGACCAAATTAGCAGCTTTTGTATTGGCTAATTCCTGCAGCTTGAGACCCAACACCATGGGCTTTTCTTCTCAAGATCATTCCAGCAATGCAATATGACCAGGCAGGGAAAAATATCATTATTCTGGAGGTTGCACTGCAGAATCATACTGAAACATGCCACAATGATCTCAGCACAGGGAAGTGTCACAAAGAGACCTGGACATCTGATCCAGGCTCTGAGGCTTTTTACAAACCTCTCATTATTCAAACACAGATGCTGAGTGGGCTCCCAGAGATGCAAATCATGTTTGAAGACATAGGCAACCACAGCTTCAAAGGAGGCATCTTGTACCTTCTTGTTCCCATTTATACACAGAATCAGTGGTGTGAAGAGATCTGCCTCAGTGAGGCTTTGTGAGGATTAATTACTAAATGTTTATCATGTACCAGGAAGGTGAAACGCTCTGGTTTGAATGCCGAGCAGCATTATAAATTGAGCTTCCATTTAATTCCTAGCAAGAACGTTATTACCCATTATTATTGAGTTTTGTACACAATTTAATGGCTATATAATACTTCCAGAATAGATTTAACTAACCTGCTCCCACTTACAATTAATTTAGTTCCCTCTCAATGCCCTGACAATCCAATGAACATCTGTACGGGAGCTCGGGAGCGAGAGCAGTGTGTGCTGAATTCCGGCTGCTGCTGAGCGTCTCCTCGCGATGCTGAGCGCGTGCTGTCAAGGTTCAAGGAGCAGCAGCTCTCCAGGCAGTCTGCTCTGTGTTTCTTTTACTTTTTAGGGAAGAAAGAAAAGGTCATTGGAGGAAGCCTGTGGATTACATGACAGGTTGGCTAACTGCCTTCCTCCTTCCCCCTCCAGCCTGCTGGGCTCCCTTATCACAGGCAGGCCAGGCAGGTGACTCCAGGACATGCACTGGCCCTACACAGCCAGAGGTGAGCCACACAGGACTTCATCCCCTGGTAATTTTCTGGGCTTTTCATAAAAAGTACTGCTAGGAGATGTATCCTTTGGACTGCCAGCAGCAGCTGAAAGTGGGAGTTTCCTGGAAGTAAAGTTGCAGGTAATTAAAGAAATTTCACCTGACAAGGGTAATTAATGACTATTCCTTCTAGCAATTGCAGTGGTGAGGTGTGACTGACAAAGTGTCAAAGTGATTTTTGCAAGGCAGTGGTTTGAGTGGTTTGGCTGCTTTGTTCATCATGTTTTGCTCTTGGACCCCTTATTTTACCATCACTGGTAGAGCATCCCCCCAGGACTCCAGCAAAGCCATGGTGAATGTGATACAGGCACCATGAATGCTCCATGTAAGAACAGCGGGGTGAAACGTTCATGACAAAATTAGCATCCCCACTGCCATGCACCCTGGCATGAAAATCATGACATTGCCAGCATTTCATTGAATTTAAGACATGGCCAAAGAGCTCTTTAAGTCCTCATTATTTTTAGTTATACTGAGGTGCTGAGGAAGGTGCAGAAGACTGGAAGAGAGCTGGAGCTGTGCCAGAATTTTAAAAAGGCAAATTTGGAGAGCCAAGTATGTCTAAGACAAATCCTGTTACTGATTTACAGCTTGAAATTGATCCTTGGCAAAAAAAAAGTGGAAGAGCTGATAAAGTACTCGGTGAATAAAAAATTACAGGAAATAAATATAATTAAAATAAATCACATTGATGTCTTTGATTGCAGTACATTGTTCATTGCTGATGGTGATATAAAGTATTCACTCAATAATGAATCAGACTTGACAACATTCAATGCCTCCATTAAAAATTGAAGAAGAAACCAATATGAGGTTCAAACTGTCCAATAATTGCTAATGACTTATGGACTTGGAAAGGTATAAATACAGAAAATAAGGTCACTTCTGCAGAGAAGCGAGGATGAAAACTGTCTGGGAGCATTTCAGCCTGGGGTGAGGGAAAGGCACGTGTCCAGGAGCAGTGGGATGGGGCCCTGGTTGCAGGAGGAGAGACAAGAGGAGGTTGCTGTGATGAGGTGCATCAGGAGCTGAACATATGGGGCTTTTCAGCATTTCAGGAACAAGCAGGCTTATTTCTTGCCTGTGCATGGGCTGTGTCCAGCTGTGGGTTTTATTCTGCTCACTGGAGGAGAGGCTGCGATTTCAGTTCATCTTCTTATTGCTCCTCCCTCCTCCTCGCCACTGCCAGCCAGTCAGCCTCAGCATTGCCATTCTGTGCCATTTCCCA